TAATATAAGATCCCTATTGCACCAGAGAAAATAATCATAAGACTGAACCCTATGGTGTTTCACTTTCGCCGCATATGGCAGGGCCACGGGAACGCTTTCACACACATATTTTTTGGTTACCATTTTATTATTCCAGTATATCTTGGTTATTAATAGGTTCTTAGATTACCTAAGTTTTTATCACAAAAGCGTAATTTTATGCTTGATAAGGATAGGACGAGTGACTCAACAAATATCTCTGGCGCATTCGTATAATCTAATGTTTTCATGTAGTTGCCCCGATTTTAATTTATAGCTATATTGTAATAAAACAAATAAATTTCTTTACTACGACTGACTATAAATAGAGCATTTTTTTAAATGGTGTATGTATCTTTTTTATAGGATAGGGTGACAAACGAGCACACAGTCCACCTGATGGTAAGTGGTTGCTGTGGCCCATAGACATCTACATCTTTCCTAGATTACGAATCAAAATGCAGATGCGTTGTCATCCGTGAGGACTAATATGGAATGCCTCGTTTCCAGTAAAAAAGGTCTCCGGTTCTCTACACTCACCATACGAAACACAGCAGCATTAAGCTCCTATTTTACGCTGGTATTCTGTGAGAGCGTGTTCCTTCCCCGGTCGAGCCGACCCATTCGTACTACAACTATACTACTAATATAACTGGAGCATGGCTCTACCACGTATGATATCGATATAAATATCTACGTAATGTTTATATCTTCCACATAATTTTTTTTAACTTATCTGTTCCATTGACAAAAAATTCAGTTGTGTATCACCAGCAACGCAAATTCAGGAATTTGCATTTAGAAAAAGCCAAAATTAGGTTTAAAAATTCGGTGCTCTAAGATTTATACCGCAACAGACTGTTAAAATTTGCATTGCTGGTAAAACGTATCCCTAGTAACGCGGTGATGATTATAGATATACAATAAATATTAATAGCAAGGAATTAAGTGCTAATTAAGTGCAGCAAGTATAGGCAAAGATAAGGCGCCGTTAATAAAAATAAAGTAGTTATTCAGAACAAAACAGATGCGAAAATCAGGTCTTCTGAAAATCAGAATAGAATCAAAATCAGGTATAGTAGCATTAATTTGATAGTTAAGTGCTTTCAAAACCACAACTCACTTTTTTACACAGGAATATTGACACAGTTACTTCTGCAACGGCTTCGGCGCTGCGGGAAGTGCAGCCACTTTGCCCTTGCGTAGTAAATTACAGGCATTCATGCTCACCTCTGCAGCTTCGGCTTATTGGTCACCTTCGGTGACTAGCCTCAACCGCTACGGTTCGCACAAATGCCGGCAATTTTCTGCAGTGGTCGGAGGATGCTCCCCTTCCGCGCCTAAGGCTTTACAAAAATACTAGGGGGAAGGAAGACATGACTACGTGGAGTCGGGGCGTTCTGATTCGATTTTAGTACAAATTCAACCTATCTTATCTATAATAATGTCCTCCAGACCGAATTTTGGTAACGGCAGCTTTCCTCAACGGAGATTAGTCTTGGGCGCAGGGCAGGAATATAGTGCCTAAGTGTATCCGCAAGCACAAGTGCACTCTCTATTCCCTCACTCTCATAATGCATTGGGACGTTAAACAGACACGACCGGAGAGAGATCAGGCTCAGGACCAATAGGTTTACATGTTTTCCGAGGCACGGAGGTGAGACACCGCCAATATCCTGACTCTGGGCAGCTACTGAGAATTACTTGACGGAAAACTCAATAATTGATTTTTTGGTCCGACCCGGAGTTCGAACCCAGGACCTTATGATCAGAAGTGGCACTACTACAACCACTAAATCAACAAAGCAGTCCTTATCTATAATATATAACTGATTAAGAACAAATTTGCCATTTATACCTTATAGTAAGGTGATGGTGATCCTGGATCTGATACTTCTCAAAATACAACCGTCATCTACATCCACCTTCAATAATCTCTCAGCACTTAATTAGCACTTAATTTCTTTTCTGTTAATATTTCCTGACTTTGCGTTGCTGACGAGACCCAACTAAAAATTCTCAGCAAAACATTTTTTAATTCTGACATTGTCAAATTCGTTGAATTGTCAACCAAATGTAAATGAAAAGATCGCCGTTCGCTCGGAAATAGAACCTGAAGACCCTGATAGTGAGCTACATCACACAGGTCGTCATAAAGTAATTTATTTTTATTTAAGTTAAAAATTACATGGTATGCCTATGTGGAGTTTAAACGAGTACACGGACTGCTGAAATTTAAGTAGCGTAATGTTTCACGAGTTTGCTTGTCAAAAGCAGTTAAATAAAGATTTGTACGGTCCGTTACGTAAAAAAAGTTAATATTCCTAACAAACTAGTATTTAATAGACAAGTTAACGCTTACCTCGCCGTCATATTCACTATTTTAATAGATATTGGGCTTACATTAAACCTTTTTCATAGTCGACTTCCATGTTAAAATTAACATGAAACACAACTAAACAATAAAATATAACAATTCTTACAAACTATTAAAATTAGCTAGAAAAAAGTTTTGAATAACAATCGTGGTCGACCGTTGCGTACGTGCTTAAAAAGGCTGAGCAGTAAGAGACGTGAGGGATTACGTTATATCACGGGCGCGCGAAATTTGAGGAATTTTAAAACCGCTCCGAACTTTTTGTAGTAATAACTTCGGTATTAATGCATGTGTCGACGTGAAATAAAAACTAGTGTAATATACAAAATTCATCATTGTTTTGTTAAAACTTTAATGATGAAAGAATGTAAAATGTAAAATATTTGCATTTTACATTAATACTACATTAATATTCTTTCATCATTTCGAAATTTTGATTTCAAGACAATTGACTTTTCTTATATATACATTGGAACACACATGTGATATAAAAATAGTAGGTGTATATTAAAAAATATAAAAAATAATAAGGTATTAGTGCAATTATGAAAAACTAATTCATTCACGTGTTCCTGTAATATATTATATCTATGCCAAATATCAATCATCTATGTCCAATGGTTCTTGAGAATTCTAAAAAATTCTGAGTGACCAAAATTTGATAAATTTGGCACGGAACAACATTTATTATCGTTGGTAAATTAAAGCCTACGCGAGCGAAGCCGCGGGTAAAAAGCAATTATACGTAAATTAATGAGCTAGTAAGCGTATATAATAGATATATTTGAATGCCAAAATTTTACCTACTTGTCATGCACATTCTGACGACTAATATGGGTGTCGTGTAATGATGTTTTTGCGGAAGGTTACGCCTTTATTTTTATATAACATTGAGCGACAACAGATATAGTCCACAAGTGGATGCTGTGGCCCATAGACATCTACATTTATCCTCAATTAAGAATCAAAATGCAAATGCGTTGTCACCCCTGAGGACTAGAATGGAATGCCTTGATTCCAGTAAAAAGGTTCTTCGGTTCTCTACACTCTCTATACGAAACACGAGCCGACCCATTTGTGCTACAACTATAATATAGCAGCTACAGCGTGGCTCTAGCACGTAAGACAGACAATACGCGAATAGTGACGGCTTTTTATAAATTATATTATTTTATAAACAATCATTTTATTTATGTAACTTTAAATGTACGGGCTCTTATTGCTTGAAATGAATAAATAATATATTTGACATCTCACAGAATAATTTATGTTTTACAACAAGTTTAGACATGGTTTTCTTCATTACATCCTATAAAAGTCCTCTGATAAACATAGGCTACCCCCATAAAATGCCTCACATGGTGAATTTTGCCACATTTAGCAGGCGGGTTAGTAAACGCAGTTTTTAATTATTTTGGGTTTTTATCACGAAAATGCTGCTGCCCATTTACTGTTTCAGTTTTTCTCTGTCGCCTCTTACAATACCCACGTGCACGATATGAGGTAACGGAATATTATTACAGTGCCACTACACGGTCATTTTTATAAAGTCCGAATATGAACCGTTTACCGTTACAATGAAGTCGTTTGAGTTATTAAGTTAATTATAGCAGTAATATCAAGATGATAAATGTCAGCATAATCGAGTATAGGGAGGTAGAATTAGCATTTAATTTTAGTAGAAATGGTTAAAAAGTATTGCGTTCTCCGAAGTAAATCACACTATACAATCACCACGATTAGCACTTGGGTTGGTGATCACAGTATTTTACATCTTGCATGTATTATTTTACTTCTAGTCAGTGGTGTGAGCATTTTACACGTAGCGTTAACAACATGGTTATACTGCCATCTGATGTAAGCCATTTTCGGGCTTTTTCTAACATAGAAATTGCGTAAATATACAGCAATACAATTGATAACCTTATAAGGAATGAGTCACATTTATTACTTCGTTATTTTAATCATTATATCTCTTTGAAATACCACAGCTAGGCCTCTCCAGAATAATGGCAGGGAACACGGTGCTAAGCCATCAACTTCCTGTATGTTTTACCAGGTGGACACGGGGGGGGGGGGGGGGCAAACACTTCGCTCACTGAAACGACACCTGTTGGCGGTTTTTGAACTATACGTCGGACCGATTGCCACTTCAGCTTACTGATCTGTTTGGCTATGTCGGTTACTCTGATTCGACTGCTGATATCTTTATTACGAATTCTCTTAATGATCCATGTGGTCGACCCATTATGACTTAAGCTTACTCATTGACCTTACCCATCCTATCAGGAAGCTAAAAAGACAATATGTTAGCAGTATAGCTCAAGGAAACAACAACGGATCTAGCTATCACGCAGAAAAACTCCAAGTATAAACCATTTTGTTATCACTTTATTAACCCATATAGGCCTACCGTACCCTATGTGGTACAGTTACTTTGTAAAAATATTTTGATGTACCCACAAATTATTAACTTTTTTGGTTAGTTGTGGCAGATAACTCAGAGTATTAGTTTTATATCAACAATATAACATACACATTTTATGCGAGTTATTATCAGTTTATATTAAAATTGCTAGACAGAAACGGAAAAAAACAATTTACAATGTCTTCAAGAAGGTAAGTTTCATGTTATCTATAGTAAATCATATTATTTGTTGGTATTATTTTAAATACTAGGCTACAATAGACGTAATAGCTACAAATAAGTTTCACTTGGGTCATTTTAGTAAGGTGTACACAGTGCTAGATTAGGTGTATCATATATGGTACAGTAGGTCTATGTATGAGCACAAAATACCTAAGTCAATTTACATATTATTATATTAGCTTTTTATTTATCTTTTTGTGTTTTATTGTTTTAGGTCATTGACATTACATGAAATTGCTACAGTTCTTGAGGAAGATGATGATTTTAGCAACCAGAGACAAGATTTTGATATTTTTTTACTTCCACCTGACACCGCCAATGATTACCAAACTGACGAGGACTCGGGTGAAGAAGATAACGTCAGCATAAATAATTTGCCTGGAAGTTTGCTTCGAGCTCCAGCGGAGCTTGCTGCCTCAACCTCAATGGAAAAACCAGAAACTGAGGACCAAACCCCTCCCGAATTTCAAGAACCTTTAAAAAAACGTGTCATGAATTACAATTGGCGAAAACGAGACTTGCAGCTAAGACCTATTGTTTGGAAACCCCTTTATCATACTCCTATTGAAAGAAGCCCGATAGAATGGTTTTCTTTATTATTTTCAGAAGAAGTATTTGAGATGCTTACTATTGAAACCAATAGATACTTAGCACGTAAGCTTCTCTCTGCTGACGTCAAGATTGAAGAGATGAAATGTTTGGTAGGGATTTTGTTAGTCAGTGGCTACTGCCAAGTGAGCAGAAGAAGAATGTACTGGGAAAATGCATCTGACTCAAGAAATAGTTTGATTGCTTCAGCCTTGTCTCGAGATAGATTTACACTAATTTACTCTAATATTCATGTTGCTGATAATCTAAATTTAGATACATCCGATAAATTTGCAAAAGTTCGTCCTTTATTAAAAGTTTTAACTATGAGGTTTCTTGAGCACTGTCCACATAAGGAGAATCATAGTGTTGATGAGGCTATGGTCCCATATTTTGGTCATCACGGCTGCAAACAGTTTATTAGAGGCAAGCCTATAAGATATGGATACAAATTATGGGTTGGTGCAACATCAGGAGGTTACATTGCATGGTTTGAACCATACCAAGGTGCTTCTACATTTACGAATGCCCAATATTCCCAGCTTGGTCTTGGTGCAAGTGTGGTTTTGTCTTATGCAGATCAACTAGCAACATTAGGCTATGGAAAAAACTACCATCTCTTCATAGATAACTTTTTTACCGGTTTGCCTTTGGTTCATGAACTTACTGAGAGGGGATTTCGTGTAACTGGTACTATCAGAGAAAATAGATCTGGAAAGTGCCCTCTATTAAGTAACAAAGAAGCAAAGACAAAAGAAAGAGGCTTTTATGATTATCGCATATCTGATGATATTATAATTTGCAAGTGGCATGACAATAGTATAGTGTCAGTATGCTCTAATGCAGTTGGTGTTGATCCTGTCCACAAAACTGAACGCTATTCTCAGCAACTAAAAAAGAAAATATCTGTTTCTCAACCTCATCTCATTCAACAATACAATAAAAATATGGGTGGAGTAGATTTATCAGATCAGAATATATCGTCATTGCGAACTAGCATTCGAGGAAAAAAGTGGTATATGCCTCTGATTCTCCATTGTATAGACATGTCTGTACAAAATGCATGGCTGCTGTACAGACATAATGGAGGGAATATCGACTTGCTAAACTTTCGACGTCGTATTGCAAACTATATTATCGATTGTAATAAACAACGCGAAAGGCCAGGTCCTAGTCGACCATCTTCAATAACATCAGACTCTCGATACGACGGCAAAGAACACTATGTCAGCAAGCAGGAAAAGAGGACCAGGTGTGGCCTATGCCACAAACAATGTCCTACAAGATGTGTCAAGTGCAATATCGGTGTCCACGTAGAGTGCTTTATTATGTATCACACCAAAAAGTAAATAAAATCTAATTAGTAAAATCATGTCTTTTTTTGCATACATATAGTCCTACTGTACCATATGTGGTACGTCCCTTCAGTCGCCCCCCCCTCTTATTAATTTTTTTTTAAATATTTTTCCCCCGGTTTTTAGGCTTTCTTGGATCAGGTTTTGTTAATGAAACATGAATTTTTCACAAAAATAATTATCGGTCTAAATGGGTTAAAATATTTTTAAATACAAAACATGCATTCTGTATAATGTAGTCAATTCATGTACAAAGATACTTTATCTATACTATGTCTGTGCGCATTTTAGGTGTATTATATAAAAATATAAAAACAAATAAAAACTAAATTAACGTACATTATTTTGCAATATTTTTTTTTTCGTAAACGTCTTACTTATATAATTATTTCTATCGACAGTCTTTAATTTGCACACGAGAAGTTTGTAATGATAGGCCATATTAATAAAATATTATGTAATGTAATTTTAATGCAATGTTGTAGTGTCCGTGGGATATTAGAATGTAAAATGTCGTATGGTAGGGCTCTATTTCCGTCTTGGAGCTCGGAATAAATAACAAAACTAACGTACTAACTGACCGTCTGGGTTGTACAACAGAATAAATAGTAATACTTACATAAGTTTCACGCTTTTGATGTTGACTACTTGCCGACGTTTAATAGCCTACATAATTATTATTAATATTTTGAACGCGCGAGTGTCCGTATTACTTTGCATCTTTTCCTCTTTCAATATCACGACTGTTTTTCCGTGGTTACTTAGGGCTTTCAAGAAAGAGTAAAAAATACAATATGTATAACATTAATAATTTATTTAATTTACAATTATTTTACTTCAATATAATGTTTTATATTTTTTCCATCTCTAAAATACCGGTTATTGCTCCCTTTCTTTTAAATTCTGTCATCAAATTGAAAAGGGTTTGGCACATTGAAGCGCTGTGGTGGAATCCGGGAACTCTCGGATTCGATTTCTGAAACCGACAATTTGGAAGTTTATAATTTCTTTAAAACTGTGTTTATTTTTATTTAAGTATACGGTTTAATAATAAAAACCGCAATGTTAGCCCGCTTTCATCTATGACTGCTTCATCACCATTAGCCAGGCGCAATCTCAGTGAATCCCATAAATTTCAAGAACAAGTCAATATTCAAGAAAAATTAGTATACGATAAGCGTATGAATAAGAATCACTAACCTCTCCAATTTCACGCGAATCTTCAATGGTGATTTGATTCCACATTTAATTAAGTGGAATATGTATTAATATATGCTCGTTGATCTACTATTTATGCACACTTCTATTTAAGGATCTCCTTCACCAAGGTATAGAATAAATAATATGTTGTACTACATTACCAAGGTTTGCCTGGAAGAGTATACCTGTTTAGCGATGAGGTACGTGGCCTTTTGTATTGTACTTGAATATATAAATTAAGGTTGGTGTGTTATTGTAATATGTTGTGTCCAATAAAGAGTATAAGTAAATAAATTTATTAATTAATACGTTGCGAAATGTTAAGTAAAATAGGTGAGTTACCTATTCTGACTGACCGAATGAACATATTTTTGCTACTATGCGAATTCTGTGCCTAACGCATGCAACTTCCAATGTCACTCGCCGCGAATCGCGATTTAATAAATCGCTCAGAAGAAATAGGTAGATAGTGTAAACAAGAAATAAACCCGAAATACGATTCCTAAATTAAATGTGATTGTATTCTAATTAGTTAAAAATCTCGTAAACAAAGTTTTAATTTAAGTGCTTTGTGTTATTATAACTTAAAATATTTGAATTAAAAAAGACATGTAAGTTACCTATTTGGAAAGTGAAGTAAATTTGAACTAAGTTTTGAAATAAAGTACTTAGGTATTAGTTCTATATTTAAATTATTACTTATAAGTATTTATTTAACAAAAAAATTAATAAATGTATCTTTCATTATCCTTAGGTAATATAAAAATGATATATCTGAATCCTTTTGTTTGCTCATTAAGCATCCATCCACGCAACAATTATAGTAGGTTCGAAGTTTTGCAATTACAATTTATCAAATAGATAGGTAATAATATAATAAATATAATACACATATTGTATATTATTTTTAAATCACATTAAAAAGTTTTGAACTATTTTATCCTGCAATTAAATATACTAAACACTAAACAAAAATTACAACAAGTGTTTACAAAAAACGTTTCACGTAAACAGCGTTAAAATTCATCAATCGCCTACAACGCGCTACCCCGCCTGCGTATTACACCGTCGGTGACTTTCGATTTTAGGTAATTATTTCACGCAGGTAGCAAGGGTAACAGATGCCTGATTGTACCTCCTGTATAAAAGTGAAACCACTATGTAAACTTATTCAAGCAAATAAACGATACAAAAATTTTGATTTCAGCCCCCTAGCAGCTGTGCTATCTATCATGTGCACGGTTTAAAGGTTATGAGAGTCATTTTGGTTGCAGGCTGTGAGGCAATTTATCTTAGTCCTCAAGGGCAAAAACGCACCGAAGAGTTCTTTTAACGTCAATCAAAATTAAATTAAATTAAATCATAATAAAATAAAATATCGAAATAAAGTCAATTTGAATTTAATTTAAATAACCGTATTTTAAAATAACTTCTCTGCTAGGGTTTGCAGAATGCTATTGAGACTGCCACGCACCCTAAATATCAGCGATGTGGTTTTTTTGCGAAGAATGACTGCAAAGCCGTCAACTTGGTATTCTGCAAACATCACTAAAACGAGGCAATCTAAACACATCCTGAACACATTATTATATTGGACTCGTAGGGTGTCCAGCGACTTCTTCGTATAGCTGGCCTACAGATTTCCTGTGTACATGTTTTGGCACACTTTACGTTTTTGCTACTGTTTTATGCTTCCTTCGGTTTAGTAGCTGCGTCTTTTAATATATTTTAAAAAATTTGCTTACCGCACATGATTTGTTGAAAGACTATTAATATTTAGAACAGAAGAAAAGGTATTTGTTATTTAGGTAAAACTATTACCTAGTTACTAAATCACATTAAGGTTTAAGGTAACATTGAACAGGAAACATTGGTTGCTAATGTCGCAATTCCCGCTGGACGCAAATTTGATTCACTTTCTCTTTTATTTTGCGTCGATTTAATCCGTTAATGCTCACTTTCATCTCGCATTACTCTGTCGGGCACGTAATATACTACATTTTCGCTTGTATCAACACACGTTTACATAGCTTCATTAAGTCAATAATTTACATCGTCCGTTGTACTAACAACGATAAAGTTAGTCATAATAATTAAAATATTTTTGCGGAAATATGAAATTACATTATTTTTACATTTTGACGATTAGACATTATTAATTATTAAGATTAAGCAAATGAGTATTGCGGGTTTTGTAAGTACGATTTAAGGCATAGTTAGTCCAAAATAAGTATTGTTCGTGATGTAATAACTGATGACTTACTCTGAAGAAGTCGCGAATATTTCACTTAAGCAAGTCGAGAGTACTCTTGTATACCTTACGAGAAAACGTTAGTTATATAAAGGAATGATCATACTTAATGATCATTTACGCAGTCTAGCCTCGTCCCACATTGACACTTGTCTTGAAAAGATGCCAGATTTACCAAACTGTCCGCTTTCTGATGTTGACGGTAATTTATCTGTGCCGCTTTTAGAACATTGAGACTAAAATGTGATATCTTTATAAATTTGTTTACTAATATTAAAAAAAATTACGCCTGTAGTTCTTTAATCCTAAAAAGTTTTTTATATCTCAAGCGTATATCTTGTAGGTGCTTAAATCAATTAATATACCTAATATTCAGTTCATACCGAGTAGTGAGTGGTAGAATTAGAAAATAAGTTACTTTAAATCGTCTCATAGGTGGGAAAAAGGTTACTGTGGGAAAAGCCAAAAAGATCTCATGGCCTACGATAGGCGTTAGTACTAATATCTCGTTTACGTCAGACGTAAAATAAACATGCCGCTGGTGGGAAGCCTTGGTCGCAAGACCTAACACGATTGGTACTGCGATTGCCAATTGTGGCGGTTATGAAAAATCTTTATAACAATAGAAGATACTTATGTTTAGCATTAGTTAACGGAATGCAGAAGAACAAAGACGAAAACAGTTTTATTAATAGTTATGAAATACTGAACGTAATCATAAAAATTAAATTACGATAGAGATTACTACTCTCTAAGAAATGTGAAGAGGCCTGTACCCAGAAGTGGGACATATAAAAGTAAAAAAGTAAAGTTACAGCCTATATACGTCCCACTGCTGGGCACAGGCCTCCTCTCATTTCTGAAAGGGTATTAGGGCAAGGAAGTGTCCGCCGCGCTGCCCCAATGCGTGTTAGCGAACTTCACATGTCTTCGATATTTTTTTTCTTATTTCTCAGACATGCAGGTTTCCTCACGATGTTTTACTTCACCGCCGAGCGCGTGGTAAATCAGCACTTTAAATTGCAATTAACAATTTCATTGATGCCGGCGGGGATCGAACCCGGTTTGCTCGTGTACTGTGAAATTTACAGCGAGCGTTAACCATCTGAGCTACCACGGCTCTTATGGACATACGCAGTCTGTAAATTTATTTTCATAAATGTTACTTAAATGAAGCATTAATTTTATTTTCGAATCTAACCTGACACTATTTATTAATTCTCGTACTAAAACACACAACAGAATGTGTAATTTTAATATCAATTTGGAAAACACTGTGATTAAAATAGGCAACCAACGTTATTAATTACACTTACGTCTTACAAAATAGTTACAGATTTATTTTTATTTTTCAGATTGTGGTTTGTGCAGTTATTGCAAGAATACATTCTGAACCTGAACCGAAAAAGTATAAATCGGGTGACGGGAACAAAGACAAATTGGAATCATCACTGACTGATGATGAAAAGAATTTCCTAAAAGAAGTCGAAGAAAAATTTGGTGTTAAATCCGAGATTCCAGTTGATAATTCGAAAAATATATCAGAAACAACACAAAAACCTCCTTTACCAGCTGTAATTGCTATCGAAATTGTAAACGATACAGACTCAAGTGTAAAAGGAAAGAGAACTATAGATGCAAATCTAGGTTACGGATACCAAACTAATAATGGATACACGTATACGTATTTTGGAAAGCCAATGCAGGAAAAAGGCAAATTTATGATCTATCCATATTCTCAACATGATATTCCATCACAATATGATGGACATAGCGCTGGGTATTCGCAGCAGTCGACAAATGAGTATTCACAGGGAACTAGTGTAGAAATTCAACCTTCACAAGCATTTGAATTAGTGTCAGTTAAAGATAGTAACGAAAATTACGACACAAATTCGAAATCATTAGAATCTACACAAACTTATCCAAAAAACCTGCCTTTATTCCACCCATCTACTTTATATACAACGTATGATGGTGAAAGGCTCTCAGGCCTAAGTGGTCACTTTCCAAGCTTGATGTCGAATTATTTCGTTCAACCGAAGCAACTTCTCACAAATCCTCAATACCAAAACATTGGTTTAACTCAGGACCATTTGAGTACTAGTGGCTTAGATCAAAATCGACCTGTAGTCCCTGTTTTAGTTTTAAGGATACCGAGTTCCTATATAAAAAATCCTACCGCCGAATTGTATGCAAACTTGCCAAACAATTACCCTCTTTCACATTATTTAAATAATGTTAATCTACAAGGTCTCATAAATCAATATTTTAAGAAGAATGGTTACGATTTTGCTCCCCAAGTAACAACTTATCAAAATCCTAAAATAACAACTTCTGCTATAACGCCAACGGTGTCATCATCATCTTACAATTCCGAATCACAACAGTATTCGAATCCACATGTCCAGCCATCATACACTCAATCTGATTATTCTGGTATTCAGTATTCTGCAGTGAAACCAGTCATGGCTAAATATCCTTCAAGTTTCAGTAGACAAAATCATTTTAGCTCACGAATTCCATCTCACTATAGAAGGCCCGCACAACAACAGAAAAACGAATACCGTTACCAATATGTACCACAGTTAGCGACTCACACACAAGCCTACTATGGGCAGTCATTACATCAAAACCATCATCAATCATCAGAGCCACAACATGAACAAACAGGAGATCCAAAATATTCAACTAGTCATGACACAAATATCAATTCTGCGCAATATGACAGCAACACACCAACTCAATTATCTGCAGAAGTACCGGAAAATTCTAATATCTATACACCACACTACGAATACACAAAAGACAGCCAAGAAACTTACAGCCCTCAACAAACTTTATCACAAGGCTATTCTAGTCAAACACTGCCTGGCTACAGCTCTTCTCAACACAGTAACGAATTCTACTCGCAAAAGCAACCTATACAAACAGAAACAGTAAGTGCGTATCCCTCTGAAGTTGCAAACGTAGAACAAGGGCAACTATCTTATTCTGTCTCGAGTGAAACGCAAGGATACGAGTATCCAAAACCAAGAGAAGAGAATGTTGAAAATTCTTACGTTAACTCGGAAAATTACCCTAATAAGGATCATACTATCGCGACTGTACTACCTTACAATTATAAGCAAGCAAAAAGGCCAAATACCGCGACCGTTCAGACAGTAAGTTATGTTACTCCAGCTCCCTATTCAACTAAATATCAATCGCGTTACAAAGTAATGGTTCCGCAGATTGTACTTAAAAGCCATGATGTTGAAAAAGTAACGTATGTAAACTCCATGCCAATGCACTATACAAAATCTGGATATCACAACCAAGACTATAATGCTGAAGAAGGGTATACTGCAGGGACTCAATACATTCCACATATAGATAAGCAAAAGCCTACTTCTTACCCCAGAAATTATCATTCTTATATGAAGCGTATGACAAGCCCCAACAATAAGTCTGAAGGGAGTGCTGTATCTTCATTGATGTATAAGAAACAAAATGAAAAGAAAACTTCTTCATAATAAACCACCAAGTAGTATTTTGACAGATAAATAGATTATTATTATGTAAATACAAGACTATGTTACCACTACAACTAGTATTTTGTAATTATATATACTTAAGTTAAATAAATATATAAGTAATTATTATTTTAACTAAAATTTAGTAAAAATTTTGCTTGAAAAAGTTATGAAAATCATGTTTTTAAAACTATTCTCGTGTCGTGTTTACAACATATGATTATCTATGTAAATAAAATGTATAGACTAAATATTATAGTAGGTACAATTTGTATTAGAATTTATTCGTAATTTATTTTGCTACATAATAAAATAGTGGCTGTTTTTATGTGCAATATTTTAATTAAGGTAGTATATAGAGTAAAATTAAAGAAAATATTCAACGTTGGCTGTTTTACGATCAGTTTATTTTATTATAATACTTTTTTTACTTACAATATTGGCGTTAAGTTCAATTCAATGACATCTCTAAAATAAAAATATTAATTATTTTTCAATACTATAAACCACAAGGTTATGTTATATCACAGATGATTGGCATCGCACGGGAGATACCTTTGAGGAAGCCCAAAATATCTGAGCGAGTTACAGAGAAGCTTATGTTCGGAGTTTTTCTGTCAGAGTACAAACCCTAACCGATCAATGATGCAAAGTAGCACTGTAGCTCAAAAATGGGAAATATCTCGAGTGCCAGCTTCGTGCCAGTTAGCGTAGTGCAGTGTGGGACACTTTAATAAATTACCTGCAATATACAAAAATCCATTACTATACAAAAAATATAAAAATCATATTAAAATGAATTGAAACAATGTTACTGTTATTTAAATACACGTTTGTATCAAAATTTCATTACAATTCAGATTTTTTTTATCTGGCAATAAAGTTAAGAGACTTCGTCCTCTTCGTTTAGTCCTGTGGCTGTCGTAAGAAGCGACTGTGGTAGATGCCAGAAAAATGAAATTGCTTCCAATAAATGCCGCTGTATCATTTATACGTGGAAAAGCCACGTTGCAGCTATATTATGGTTGTAGCACGAATGGGTCGGCTCGACCGGGGAAGGACCACGCTCTCGCGGAATACCAGCGCAAAATATAAGCTTAATACTGCTGTTTTTCGTATGGTAGGTGTAAAGATCCGGAGACCCTTTTTAATGGAAACAAGGCATTCCATCTTAGTCCTCAGGGGTGACAGGGGTGACAAAGCATCTGCGTTTTAATTCTTAATCGGATAAATGTAGATGTCTATGGGCCGCAGCATCCATTTACCATCAAGTGGACTGTGTACTCGTTTGTCATCCTGATTCTATAAAAAACCCAGACAGGCGCGGTGACAGACATTATTACCATCGTTAATCCGGTTCCTAAGAGTGACGATTAAGGCAAATTACGGACGAAAAAGGCTATTGAGGAAAATTGAGGAGGCCTACAACGGGAAAGAAAAAAACAGTAGGTTTTTAGTTTTTACGGGTTGATAAAGTAGAAGACGAAAAATAAAATGAATTCTTACATATAATACAACAAATAAATGAACCATAAATATATGATAGTGCTCCAGCAAAACTTACCAGGACTAATATACTTACATTTCCTCGAAATAGTCAAACGATTTATCAAACCCTCGTGTTCGTCTGAAAAATATGAATGAAGATTTATCCACTTCTTCATTCACTGGTAATTATAACAATCGCAAGTTAATCCTTTTTCGTTCTCGTAAAACTCAACTGCTGGCTATTTACAATACGTACAATACATACACGTGGACATGACATACCGGGCAGGACCGCACTCTCATAGAATACCAGCTTAATGCTGCTGTGTTTCGTATGGTGAGTAGAGATCCGGAGACCCTTTTTACTGGAAACGAGGCATTCCATCTCAGCCCTCAGATCATTTTATCATAGATCATAGTAAGTCTTCCGTGGTAGCTCAGATGGTTAACGCTCGCTGTAAATATAACAGAACCCGAGTAACCCGGGTTCGATCCCCGCCGGCACCAATGAAATTGTTAATTGCAATTTTAAGTGCTGATTTACCACGTGCTCGACGGTGAAGGAAAACATCGTGAGGAAACTTGCATGTCTGAGGAATAAGAAAAAAAGTTTCGAAGACATGTGAAATTCGCCAACACGCATTGGGGCAGCGCGGCGGACATTTCCTTGCCCTAAAAACCCTCTCAGAAATGAGAGGAGGCCTGTGCCCAGCAGTGGGACGTATATAGGCTGTAACTTTACTTTACTTTACTATAGTAAGTCTTCTCTGACCTTCTTTTACGAACAAACACAGGGTAGTGATACCAGTTTCTCAACGTTATGGAGTCAGTAATTCGTCCTTGTGTCGATGTATATCTATTACAACAGTCTTAGAAAATATACAAGGTTTCTAGATTACAAAGTTTAAATATTTTATTAAGCAAAGACTTTATAAAAAGGGTTATCATGTAGGAATACCGTGGTTGGTAATAACTCCTGAGAATGAGGTGATCTCCACCAAACTGCGTTATTAATGAGTGTTGTAAATAATTATACAACTCATTTCATAGTGTAGGTATAATGAGAGCGTGGATAAAAGTCTCACTGGGTTTCTTACTGTTTCTTCCTAGTACAGAAGTCTTTTAGGAACCATTGGTCTAAGAAAAATGACTTTTAAGTTATTTGTAACCTTTATTGAATAAAAATATTCTTTTTAATCTATTCTATTCTGAATCCAGAAAGGGGTCGGCTGCCAATAATTATATTACATCTTTTAAAAACATATTTTGCTATTTATTTCATTAATTTCTATTTCTAAAAAGTTTAGTGTATTAAATAATTGTCTTTTTTGAAAACCGCACCGCACCGCGTAACGGACCGCATTAGTAAACTAAAGTACTTTACTTATTTAATCTTAATGCTTAAACTTATAACTAAAAAAGGCAATATTGAAAATCAAAGATTTATAATTATTTTAATGATAACAATACAGAATAACACTGATAAATATTATTTTATTACTGAAGTATTTATAAAGCAAAGCGCCTTTGACTTTTTGAGCTTTAGATAGTTGTTTCGCATTGCCTTATGAAATTGCTTTACGAAAGTAAAAGGCGATTGTAAAAATCCAATACAGTAACAAGCTTTTGTAAGTAAGCGTTTGTCATTCTGGAGATTAGGTTGGACAAACATACGAACATATATTTTAAAAGCCAATTATTTCGATATTACAGACTGAATCATTTATAAGATGTATGTATATAGGTATAGGTACTCGTATGTACAGATTTTTGAATAAAAAGAGATATAAAAAAGTTGACATTGCATGTTATATTTAGTCACTATTAAAGCACATTAGCTACTGCATCCAGATTCAAGCAAACAGTAGCTAACATTTTCAATTAATAAGGTGTTAAAGCCTGTAATTGACACTCAACAAATCAGATACATTCATTATAACTAATTTTATAAGTACGAAGTATATACAAGTAACTTTAAGTGATGCCATTTCAATCCAAGTGTAGGCATTATTCAGTACTACTCCTTCAGCAGTCTTCAATAATGTTGAAGGGGTCTAAGTTTAGCTGTGCATTTTATGGTTTGACGGTATTGTTATCGTATTACTGCGATGCTGCGTATAGATTTCTGGCCATCTAGCATATACTCTTGAAATTTATTTAATAATAATTTATAATTTATCTTTTGACTAATTATCTATTAATAATCAATATAGCATAAAATTGAAAATAAAATGAAAGTAAATTGGAGGAAGAAGTTTATTTTCATTATTCTAAGCCGCAAGCAAACCTGGGTATACGAATTACGAACTAATAAATAAGTGAATAAACTACGTTCATTTCCCTTCTAGGCGTTACTAGATTGTTTCGATAAATGCTGCTTTATAAACTCGGAAGTAATGCCACTGCGCCCTGGGTATGATGTTATACGACTTTTTTGTCAAGACTAAATATCACATAGTTCATATATTTCTGTAGGCTTAAAAGCACAACAAAATACTGCTTTCACGTCTGCGAGTGGAAATAATACACTGTCAAATAGTTAAAAAGTTTACAACAAATCAGCTTTTTTTTGTGCCCGAAGCAATTAAGGGTAACCCTCCGGTAACGGGGGAGGGAGGTGGTGAATGCTCATAGCATACCACGTAGCCGGCTGCGTTGTTATGTGGAGACTTTTACCCATTAAACACCACCTTTTGGGATTGGCTTAACGATCTGACGAGAGATCTTTAAGCCGTAAACGGACGTGACCCTCCTTGGGAAAAATCACAAGTTCACTATATACTATCCACTATTCTATATCGTCCCGCGAGTGTTTTGAGAGGGAACGGAGGGAAACAACCAAGGAGATTGAGTGTATTCTTGATAACAATAAAAAATGAAAATAATTACTTAACTTTTTACGTTAAATACGAACGATATTCAAAGTCAAGCCAGAGTGTAAATCTCGAACATAGTCAGTGCATGTTGTGAACTCTTTCATTGAGTATATCTATAGATGCTTTTTCATTGATATATTCATCCGTCCATTACAGCCTGTAAGAGTCCACTGCTGAACGTGGGCGTCCCCATAGATTTCCTTATAGGGGAGATATTGTCATAGTTCTCACCTGTTTCAATGTTCCTTTGTAGTCTCTTACGACACCCACGAGACGATGACGATGATTTTTTACGAGCATTACATTTACATTGATATTGTTACGAGCTTGAGGTTCGTGACAATAAAAATTGCCGATAAAATTACCTAAATTAACACTTTAATTTACTTTACACAAATTAAAACTTAAAACACTAATAATTAAACAGAATAATTCACTATTCCGCTCCAAAGCTTCGCTTTTCTCGCCAAATCAACACTGCCTCGATCGCATCTTGCAGCGCCTATTTATATAAATTAGCAAAGAAGCATCCGGAATATTCAAGTAAATGCGCGCAAAGGGACGAGTGTGCGAGTGTAGATTTTCTAGAAACTTAGTTCTTCGGATGGCGCTGTCGGTTGAGTGATTTGTGATGTCATTTTCTCAATGCTCCCCTCGCTCTCGTTCCTGACACTAGATGGCGCTAGTGTATCGTCGACTTGAGCGCGTAACAATATATTAACTCCTTCACAGTTCAGGCTACACGCCTTTGGAACTCCTTGCCCGATGACATCAGAAAAGCTCCCAATAAGTACGCTTTTAAAAAGTTGGTCCGTGATCATTTACTAAAGACAACGCATTTTACATGACTCATCTATTTAATATGTATTGCCAAACAGACGTATATATTCATAATCATTTGTATATACTAATTATGTATGTATTTAAATATGTATACTTGTATGTTATCCATTTATTTATATATTTGTATATATGTAAGGATAGATCATATGTGTATAGTTTATTTATTAGTAGTTTGTATATATTATGTAGTTAATTATCATTTGTATTGTGTTCTTTTATTCTATATTGCCACACCTACGTCAAATTCTCACCACTCCATGGGTTGACTGGTAGAGAATGCCTCAAGGCATTAAGTCCGCCCTTTGTATTCTTTTGTTTAAGGATGCAATAAAGAATAAAATAAATAAATAAATAAATAATCTGCTATTAAATAAGTGGCATTGGTATAATAATAGCTTTTAATTATAAGTAGAAGTATTTTATTGCTTAGGGTACGACCGAGGTATGAACCGCGAAATTTACCGAGGCGGATTTAAACCGCCATTCGAATAATGCGGTGTGTGTTACACGATAGCACTTAATGTGAACTTTTAAAGTTAAAATTACAGCCTATATACATCCCACTACTATTTCTCTACCTCCTCTGATTTCTGAGAGGGGTTTAATTTTTTGTCATAATTTTTGGTGCCTTTTTTTTTTTTTTTTACATGGGGAAATGCCTACGCATACCCGCCTCGCGGGGGGCAAGGACGGGTTATGTCGGACTCGCACCGACTAAAACCCCATGGTGTTCCACCTTTGTCGCATATTGGCAGGGCTACGGGAACGCTTTCGCACACATCCGCGGCCCTACTAGCGCCTGCCGCCCCATGGCAGCACCTCCTCGGGAGAGGAAAATTCCTCCCCGTTCTCCTTCCCAGGTAAGGTGCACCAGAACACATGGCGCGCCTTCCTCCACGGCCTCCAATTACGTCTGTGCAACAGACGCCCCCGCGTCCGATGCACAAAGGCCATGGGGCCAGGAAAAACGAGCACTTAGAAGTACTAGTCTTCCCGACCCCAGCGGCGGATCTGGTCTATGGCTCCGCCGCCAACCAAGATTCGGCTGCGGAGGGTAGGGAGAGCGGCGCCTCGCAATACCGACAATCCTCTCCCCCCGCAGCCCCACCACCACCGCATCAACGGTGCGGCCCCGTTTGAGTCGCGAAGGATAGGGCGAGTGGCGCATCGCCATACCAACACTCCTCTTCCAACAATTTCATTGGTGCCTGCGAGGAACGAACCCGGGTTGCTCGCGTTCTGTGGAAATTCACAGCGAGCGTTTAGCCCCTGAGTTATTATGGCTCAATGAACTTTTAAGTTTAGTTGAAATGGCTAGCGGAATCACTAGTAACGTTAATTCAGTGTCGGTGTAAGAATATTCACTACCCAATATCATCCCGTGGGTGTCGTAAGAGGCGACAGAGGGAAACAAATCAGGAGATGAGCAGCAGCGTCTTTCTAATAACAACTAAAAATAAAAAAAACTGCTTCTTACCAACCCGCTTGTCAGGCGTGGCAACTTGGCAATAGACATGTGTCAATCATGAATGATTCGTTCGTTTGAGCCGGTACACTTAAAAATTCATGGTTCATTCATCTGTTTTTGAATGTTCCGGTACAACCTATCACAAACAATTGACGGCATCTTTTTAACTCGTGATTGGTGTGAAATATGAATGTGTCGAAACCGACCGAATCCCGAATGATCTGAATGAATTGCTTTTAGTGTAGGGTACTGGAGGCCGAAATGATACATTTGAATGATTGATCCGAATGTACCGTGGTACGCGTGACGAAATGTATTAGATTGATTCGATCACGAGAAATGAAAGATTGATACATGTCTACTTGGCAAATACCCTCCCTATGAAGCAATCTATGGGGCAAGCCTATGTACAGCAATAAACTTTAATAGTTTGTAATGTTAAATAAGATGTAAAATGGTACCGGTAACGGTAGAAGTTTATAGATTCTAAAATAAATATTATCAACGGTTTTCCTAGTGGGACAGGAACAGTGGGACGTACAAAAGCCAGTAACTGTATTTTTGCAATGTTAAGGTGATTTAATTAAAAATTGAGTTAAAGTAAAATCTATTTACTCTTCCATTTACTGTTCATTAAAGTAGAATTCTCCTAAATATTTTTTTTGGCGTTTGACAGGTGAATTGCAGATCGTAATACCAATACCAGATGTCTAGTACCAGTGACTCCGCTGCTATTATAATGAGTATTTAAAGCTGCGTATCGACTTCGCGTGGCTGCCTCGCGACTTTGTTCGCCCGCGGCAAAGCTGTGTTTTGGCTCGCAGGCCAATTTTAGCGCACAATTTAACTACAGCGAGGCAGCTGCGCGCGGCAGCCGATCCGCCAACGAACGTTTATTTCATGCGCGGCAACCATAGACGTTGTACGTCGGCGAAGTACAACAGGCAAGCCTATTTCTGCACTGATTTCATTCCAAGCATCTCTTCTTAATGATTTGTTGTGATAATCACTACATTTACTGTTACATAGAGGTTGTTTAGTACCATATAATCTAATTAAAGTACGACACTTGTCCGTCCATGTTTTTCCCGCGCGCGCCAACTAAAATACGTAAATGACCGTCCCAACTACGCGAGGACTCGCTGAAATTCCTTTACGCCGTCAAAAACCGTTACGGATTGGTTCGTCACGCGGCAAAGCTGTGTTTTGGCTCGCAGGCCAATTTTAGCGCACAATTTAACCACAGCGAGGCAGCTGCGCGCGGCAGCCGATCCGCCAACGAACGTTTATTTCATGCGCGGCAACCATAGACGTTGTACGTCGGCGAAGTACAACAGGCAAGCCTATTTCTGCACTGATTTCATTCCAAGCATCTCTTCTTAATGATTTGTTGTGATAATCACTACATTTACTGTTCCATAGAGGTTGTTTAGTACTATATAATCTAATTAAAGTACGACACTTGTCCGTCCATGTTTTTCCCGCGCGCGCCAACTAAAATACGTAAATGACCGTCCCAACTACGCGAGGACTCGCTGAAATTCCTTTACGCCGTCAAAAACCGTTACGGATTGGTTCGTCACGCGGCACGTTCGAGCGCGCCAATGTTCGAATTGACGCGCGCGGCAACACAGTATCCACTGTGCGCAGCTGCCGCGCGAGCCAATGTTCGATGATTTGCCGCGCGAAGTCGATACCTACGCAGCGTTACGTCTGTCCAAACAAAATGGTTTTTTCATCTGTTAGAAGCCTTATCTTTTTGTCAAATTCCATAGTCGTCTCGTAACATGTGCATGGGACTAAATTAAATAATACATTGCTTTAAAACCCCACATTAAGGCAAAACTTATAAGGACAACCCTGAGTTCAAATCCGCCGGTAGCACAGTTATTTTTCTACACAATTTTAACTGCCGATTTAAATTGCTCACGCTATTATATATTAATTAACACAACACCTGCCTTTCTAAGAATGTAGCTCCTAGCATTGCATTTCTTTCCAAGTTTAAGACAGGTGCAGGTGGTTATAACCACCATACTATTACTAGAGTAAATTTGCGTCCGTTTGCACTGGACTAACAAAAAAAATTAGAGAAGACCTATGTTTATGTTTGGGTTTGTACACACTCTAAGTTTTAAAAACCTTATAAGTATTACGACAAATGTTTTTGTATTTGTCTTGCACATAAGAATTGAAAGCAAAATAGAATTTGTAATTAATTTGATATAATATGCAGTAACACACACGCTCACATTCATAATTTATGTGATAAGCCACATACTGAGCAGACGATTTAATAAATATCTGTCATGATTGAACATTACTACGGTGTCCAAGCATAAACAAACGATACCATCTTTCAGTCCTTTCTATTCACTTCACATTGAGCTTGTTAGAAATAATATGAGAACAAAAAGCATTGAAACATAGCTTATGAAGTTCACTATGTTTTTATTTACAGAAAATAAATACATTGAAATATGGTCAATTGTAGCTCGAATAATTTGAAATATATTTCTTAATTATTCGTATGTATACATAACTAAAATATTGTTATGTTTCAACATTATACGTGGTATATTCACGCTGCAGCTGCTCGTATATTGTGGTTGTAGCATTAATGGGTCGGCTCGACCGGGGAAGGACCACGCTCTCACAGAATACCAACGTAAAATAGCAGCTTATTACTGCTGTGATTCGTATTGTGAGTGTAGAGATCCGGAGACCCTTTTTTTACTGGAAACGAGGCATTCAGTCTCAGTCCTCAGGGGTTGACAACGCATCTCCATTTTGATTCTTAATCGAGGATAAATGTCTGTGGGCCTAAGTATTTACTTACCATCAGGTAGACTGTGTGCTAGTATGTCACCCTTATTATATATATATATATATATATATATATATATATATATTATCATAGTTGACGTGTCTGTTAGTGATGATGTAAATTCTGAACGACTTTACTTCACACAATATATACGAAATACATATCAAGAGAAATACATATTCCTCATGTCGGGACGATGGTTGATTACCTACACTAGGATCCGATAGGTATCGCTATTCATATTGCCATAAAAGAAAATCACAAAAATTGACCTGATAGGTTAGCTGTGGTCGAGTTTAATACATTTTATATTTACACGTCATGTCGTCAAATTCATTACGTCACTTACCGGAAGGTATCAAAACCATCTGCCAAGCCATTACGTGTTTATGAAACAGAAATTTATTATGTTTCACCTATATTTCTATTAAACTAGGTATCTTAAAAAGACAATTCTTAAAGTTAGAAATTACTTCTCGTTCTTACGGATTTCACGTAATATGGGTTTACGGTGCTTTGGTTATTCTTAATCTTTAGCTTGGCAAGAGTATCGGCGAGCGCAGTCCCTGACTTTTCTCACCGTTCCATCAAAATTTCACGTAATATGGGTTTACGGTGCTTTGGTTATTCTTAATCTTTAGCTTGGCAAGAGTATCGGCGAGCGCAGTCCCTGACTTTTCTCACCGCTCCATCAAAATTTCACGTAATATGGGTTTACGGTGCTTTGGTTATTCTTAATCTTTAGCTTGTCAAGTGTATCGGCGAGCGCAGTCCCTGACTTTTCTCACCGCTCCATCAAAATTTCACGTAATATGGGTTTACGGTGCTTTGGTTATTCTTAATATTTAGCTTGGCAAGAGTATCGGCGAGCGCAGTCCCTGACTTTTCTCACCGCTCCATCAAAATTTCACGTAATATGGGTTTACGGTGCTTTGGTTATTCTTAATCTTTAGCTTGGCAAGAGTATCGGCGAGCGCAGTCCCTGACTTTTCTCACCGCTCCATCAAAATTTCACGTAATATGGGTTTACGGTGCTTTGGTTAATCTTAATCTTTAGCTTGGCAAGAGTATCGGCGAGCGCAGTCCCTGACTTTTCTCACCGCTCCATCAAAATTTCACGTAATATGGGTTTATGGTGCTTTGGTTATTCTTAATCTTTAGCTTGGCAAGAGTATCGGCGAGCGCAGTCCCTGACTTTTCTCACCGCTCCATCAAAATTTCACGTAATATGGGTTTACGGTGCTTTGGTTATTCTTAATCTTTAGCTTGGCAAGAGTATCGGCGAGCGCAGTCCCTGACTTTTCTCACCGCTCCATCAAAATTTCACGTAATATGGGTTTACGGTGCTTTGGTTATTCTTAATCTTTAGCTTGGCAAGAGTATCGGCGAGCGCAGTCCCTGACTTTTCTCACCGCTCCATCAAAATTTCATCATCATCAAGGGAACAAACAGGATTACTACGTAATTTAATTATTTTTTATTAAACGTAGGACTGTAATTTTTAAATAAATTACCAATTCTATAAAATACCAGCGTAAAACTCAGAAATGTAGATTAAAGAAAAAATATGAAGAATAACTTAATCCTCAAAGGTTAAGTAATCAACATCTTCATTCTTCCTCATGTAAAATTAAAATGTATAATATAGGAGTTATAGTAATCGGTGATAAAAAGACGATTACTAGTACTAGTTTTAAAGGCTGATAGTGCTTTTTAAATATTAAAAATATAATATAGCGTTCTCATATTATAAATATATAGCAAAATCGTGATGTTGGTGAAGACCCCGGCCGATATATACATACTCGTATATCACAACCGATTTCTATGGAATATAGAAGAAAGGTTTGTATTGCTTAGAACATATTATTAAAAATGTCCTTCAGACTGAATTTTGGTCATGGCGATCGGTATCAACGGATACAGTCATCTGCGCAAGACAGGATTATCGTGGACGAGTGTGTGCGCAAGCACAGATTCCTTCTCTGTTCTCTCACTCTCAAAGACCGATAGGATTTCAATTTGACACGACCGGAGTGAGATCAGGCGCAGTAGCAACGGCTTCACGTAATTTTCGAGGTACGTGGATGTAACGCTGCTAACTTCTTTATAGAAATCCCAATAAACTATTTTGACCCGACTCGGGATGCGAATCCGAAACCTCATGATCAGCAGTTGCGCTTACGAACAATAGACCAACGAGGCAGTCATATTGCATACTGTAATGGCGCAGAGCATATTGTAGTACTAGAAGATGTGCATATCACGGATATGTTTCGTCAGTACTATCATATGGTCTTTTATTGTGGGGCAATTAGTGAAAATTTGAGTAAGTGCGTGCAATCTATGGAGCAGGGTATACGGATAGCTGTAAGCCCTTGTTTAAAAAGTACAATATCTTGACATTAACATGCTTGTAAATTAAAGAAATATGCATATTTGTAAAACAACATCCTGAACACTTTGAAAGGCATATAGATATAACTGAACGAAATGTAGCTCCTAGAAACATAAATTATACTTACCTCAATGTAGGCTCAAATTGTATGGACGGAACTCTTACGTAAATGCTATAAAGGTGTATAACACCAACGACTTTAAATAGTTACTTTAAACCATGTTTAAAAAAAAGTTGATACAATGGTTAAAAGAAAAATGTCTTTACGACCTAAATGAATTTATGTCTTTTATGGAAAATAAATCCGAAGTCAGTAATATTGATTTATATCTAATAATTAATTAATTACAAACTGAAAGTATGGACATTAACACCTTAGAACAATCATTAAACAATGTGACATTTTAATTGAATTCCCACTTGTTGTTAATTTTTTTTGCATGTATACTTTATATTTAACAAAAGTGGTAGAATGTAAATGGGCCATTATACATAATTTAAGGTCATACTTTATTGTACACATACATTCTGGCAAATAAATGAATTTGAATTTGAAATTGAATTGGAATTTGAAGAAAACGCGAAAGGCCATCACTCACACACCATTATGTAACTTTTACAATAATACATTTTTCCGTTGAGGATTCTAATCAAGCCAGAGCAGAGATAAAGTTTATGCAAAAACTTTTCCATTTAAGTTTTCTACGTAGGAGTTCGTCTAGGAAAGTATCACACCCTCTTATCTTTACCTGCCGCTAAACACTAGTGCGTGCAATGGTGTGTTCTGATCTGAAGAGCACAGAGAACCAGCATAACTACAGGCTGTGAGGCATTCCATATTAGTCTTCAAAAGTGACGCGTCTTTAGCGTTCTTTTTATAAAGTTGACTACAAGTGTCCATGAACTGCAGTAGTGGACTGTAAGTTCTATCTATGGGGGAGACCTATGTTCAGCAATGTACTTTAATAGGCAGTATCGGTTAGTTCTTTTGTCACTTTTATTAAAAAAAAACTGTTTATCTTCACCCGAAATAGTGTCTGCATTGAAATGGGATCTCCTCGTAAAGTCAATTTCAGGCAATAGTTTGTCATTATAATATTAATATTTTACAAGGTACTTTCAATTTAATTTTTCATTGACGATGAATAGGTATCTATTTTTCCTTTTTATAATCTATATATATACAGTCTCTCACAAAGGTCAAAATTGTATACAACTGTATTACTTAAGAAATAATGTGAAATTATTTCTTCCTTTGTCAAGAGAAAAATAAAATGATTTATTATTATTATGGGGTATCTATATAGTTTTCTCATCTGGTTGGGTTCTATAAATATATAATTATAAATGAAAATGAAAAGATAAATATACATAAATATCAATAACATAAAATAAATATAAATGTACATAAATAAATAAAAGCCCAACCAGATGGAGGCCCTCGGCAGGGGAGACCAAACGGCCGAGGGTTAGGGGGAAAGGGAAAGAAACCGGCGGACGATGCGGGCGGTATCGAGGAGCACCGCCTTCTGCATTTGAACCTGGAGCGATCCGCCACGTAGTCCCAGCCGCCTCAGATGACCCGAGAGGCTGACTGGGATTAGCCCGTTTGCAGAGACGACTACAGGAATAATTTCGGTCGGCAGACCACCCCACATGTCGGTCACCTCGTGAGCCAGGTCCAGATATTTTGTTTGCTTGTCTGTTTCGGCTTTCACGAGGTTCTCGTCATATGGAATGGTAATGTCGACCAAAAATATCCTTGACTGTGCCCGGTCCATCAGCACAATATCAGGCTTATTCGCAAGAATAGTCCTGTCTGTGATGATGGCCCGGTCCCAATAGAGCCTGGCGCGATCATTTTCGAGCACGGCTTCCGGCAAGTACTTGTAATACGGCAATTTCCGATCCACGAGACCGTATTTCAGAGCGAGCTCCTGGTGTAGAATTCTGGCTACTAGGTTGTGCCTGTGCAAGTACTCAGAGTTAGAAAGCGCCGAACAACCGGAGATAACATGCCTAAGTGACTCACCGGGATGGCGACAAGCTCGACAGATGTCGACGGTGCCATCCTTTAGGATGTATCTCCGATAGTTGTTGGTCTTAATAACCTGATCCTGTATTGCACAGACAAAACCCTCGGTTTCCCCGAAGAGATCACCAAAGCGTAGCCAGTGGAGGGAGGCTACTGTGTCTACGAAAGGCTCATGTAGAGCCTTGTAGAACCTCCCGTGGAGCTCCTTCTCCTTCCATACGGTCTCCCGGTCGGAAATGCTCTGCACTGCCGGGTCTTGCCATTGCTCGTTGGCTAAGGATAGAGGGGTAAGTCCTTTATCACAAGAAATGACGTCCTTATAGAATGGATCATCCGATCTCGCCAGGAAGTAATCACGGAGGCTGCACACTTCGCGATTATGCATGGTGAGCGCGCTCAAGAAGCCACGACCACCATGCTTCCGCGGCAAGTACGGCCTCATTACCGACGATCTCGGATGATGCATCCTATGGGACGTCATGGTAGTGCGGACTTTTCTATCCAGGGCGTTAAGTTCAGTCTGAGTCCACCTGAGTATGCCAAAGGTATACATGAGGACAGGCATGACCCAGCCGTTATATGCGTGTGCCTTATTCACACCGGACAAAAGGCTGTTAAGCACTTTGGTCAAGCGTGCATAAAACACGTCGCAAACTGACTGTTTCATACCAGTCTCATCGACACCGATGTTTTGTGACATACCCAGGTATCGGTATGTTTCAGCCTCGGAAAGGGTCCTTAAGTTGACGGGCATAGATAAGTCTACGCCCTCAGAGTTAGCAACCCTTCCCCTTTCAACATGGAGGACCGCACACTTATCCGTCCCAAGCTCCATTCCAATGGAATTGCTAAATTCACAAGTGATGTTTAGCAATTCCATAAGATGGGAGCGACTGGAGGCGAATAACTTGAGGTCATCCATATAGAAAAGGTGGGTCACTTTTGTCCCTCCTTTCCGTAGCTGAAATCCCCTCCCGGAGCCCTCCAGTAAGGTACTGAGAGGGTTCAGAGAGAGGCAGAACCAGATTGGACTCAGACAATCGCCCTGGAAGATACCCCTTCTTATCCTTATGTGGTTCTCCGCAGCCATCATCCGCTCGCCCAGATGACAAAGGATCGTACTCCACTGCCCCATACACTGCTCGAGGAAGTCTCTAACTGTACAGTCTATCTTGTACAGCTCGAGGACTCTCTTTAGCCATGTATGGGGCACCGAGTCGAATGCCTTTCTGTAGTCTATCCAGGCGGCGGAGAAGTTCCGACGGTTGCGTTTCACCACTTTGCCAGTGACCGCGTCAATGAGGAGTGGTTCCTTGGTTCCACGACCACCGCCCCGACATCCATTTTGAGCGCGCGACATCACCTGATTTGAGTCCAGGTGACAAGTGATTCTCGCGCTCAAAATGGATGTTAGTGTCTTGTATATGGTCGGTAGACACGTGATGGGGCGGTATTTGCTCGGGTCTGTGGTACCCTGGTCTTTAGGAACCAAATGAGTGATCCCAGTAGTGAAGAGGCTTGGGAGCGACTTCTGGTTGAGAGCCTCTTGAAACTGTCGGGCGAGCACAGAGTGACACACCATGAACCGCTTCAGCCAGTAGTGATGCAGCCCGTCAAGCCCCGGACTTTTCCAGTTCGGGGCCCTACGGACCGCCTCAGCTACGTCATCCGGCGTTATGATGACGGGGTCCATGGGCGTAATACCCGCACACTGACTCGCCACAACTTCCGTCCAAGGGCCCTCGCTGTGGTTTACGGGCTCTGACCACAGGCCGCGCCAGAATGCTACAGTGTCGGCCTGATTCGGTGCTGGACCCGTTCCACTTACCATTGGTCGCTCCAATGATTCATAGAGCCTCTTCTGATCACTCTGGAAGAGACGATTCTGGTTGAACCGTGTCGACCTCTCGGTATATCGCCGAATCCGCTTTCCCCAAGCAGCGATTCTCTGCTTCAGATCATCTATGCGCACCGTCAGTTTTTGCGTTATATCCGGCTGGGACAAACTGACATTTGTCCCAGCAAACGCCATCCTGACGGTGCGCATTGGCCTGTTGTTGCCTGATCTGAAGCATATCAGTCCGCCGATGAGAGCTCTAGCCTTTGCGATACGTTCCTCAATTCTTCTTCTCCATGCTGGGATAGCGCTACTATGGCCAGTAGCGCGTCCAGCCGTGGAAACCTTGGCGCCTATGATACGGCAGACTGCCAGCGCGGCGCCAAAAAGAATTGAGTCCGTCTCGCAAAGGTCCCGGCTGGCTTCCAAATAGGTCACCAGCATTGGGTTCAGAGCCCTCACGACAGCCCGATTCCGCTTGCTTAGGGCTATGCGGGGAAGTCGCGGTCGATTTTCGAGAGGCGTACTGCGCGTTTCCACAATCGCCTCTTCCAATGTACTCCTCATATGCTCTAATTCCAGTTCCTGGGCGACTGTTCCATCATCGTTTGAATCAACCACAACTGGGGTATTCACGGCGGCGTCCACGTTTGCCGGTTGCTCTACCATTTGTGGCGCCGCATCCTCAGTCGTAGCATTCTCATCCGACGAGGGAACAGCCTCACGTCGTAGCCGTTCGAGTTCGGCGACATCAAATATATTTGAGCGCAAGATATACCGAACTCGATCTGCCAGGTTTTGCTCTGTGACGGTTAAAGATGGCTCCAGCTCAGCAAAAAGACGATGCATCCTAGCCCGATACGCCAAACATCCAGTTTCTTCCCCTTTTGCCCTAAAGTACGCCTGCAGTGCGTTTGCATTCATTGCTTGTGACCAACGTATGCGACGTGCTCCACCAGCGGCGGGTGCCGCTTGCTGAGTCCGAGAAGACTCAGCCGACACCAAGCCTTCTGGTGGGGATGATGGATGCGGAGGGCTGCTAGGTGACCGTGCAGCTCCTCGCGCTCGGCTGGCGGCCCGCATGCTGCCGCGTCCAGCGCCAGCTCCAGACGCGCCCCGGCGACCCCCCAGGCAGCGGCCCTTTGCGCACTATCTTCTTATCCATCATCCATTATTTGGGCGTCCATTAACGGGAGACGCCCAGGCCCGGCACCGTTTCGTGTATAGCCATAAGCACAAACGGGCCTCTGCACCCTAAATTCTGCCGAGGCACGGCGCTCACACCTCTCGCAAGGCGCTGACTGACTGCGTTGACGTAGCAGTTTTGTCACTTAACTGTTACGTCAGGGGGCGATGGGGTCGTCAATTCCCTACGCCTTTTTATTATTATTGTGGGGTATCTATATAGTTTTCTCATCTGGTTGGGTGCTATAAATATATAATTATAAATGAAAACGAAAAGATAAATATACATAAATATCAATAACATAAAATAAATATAAAAGTACATATATAAATAAAAGCCCATGTGTGCCCATGAGTGTGTGTGTAATGTGAAATTATTTCTTCCTTTGTCAAGAGAAAAATAAAATGATTTATTATTATTGTGGGGTATCTATATAGTTTTCTCATCTGGTTGGGTTCTATAAATATATAATTATAAATGAAAATGAAAAGATAAATATACATAAATATCAATAACATAAAATAAATATAAAAGTACATATATAAATAAAAGCCCATGTGTGCCCATGAGTGTGTGTGTAATGTGAAATTATTTCTTCCTTTGTCAAGAGAAAAATAAAATGATTTATTATTATTATGGGGTATCTATATAGTTTTCTCATCTGGTTGGGTTCTATAAATATATAATTATAAATGAAAATGAAAAGATAAATATACATAAATATCAATAACATAAAATAAATATAAAAGTACATATATAAATAAAAGCCCATGTGTGCCCATGAGTGTGTGTTAATGTGAAATTATTTCTTCCTTTGTCAAGAGAAAAATAAAATGATTTATTATTATTATGGGGTATCTATATAGTTTTCTCATCTGGTTGGGTTCTATTAATATATAATTATAAATGAAAATGAAAAGATAAATATATATAAATATTAATAACATAAAATAAACATAAAAGTACATAAATAAATAAAAGCCCAACCAGATGGAGGCCCTCGGCAGGGGAGACCAAACGGCCGAGGGTTAGGGGGGAAAGGGAAAGAAACCGGCGGACGATGCGGGCGGTATCGAGGAGCACCGCCTTCTGCATTTGAGCCTGGAGCGGTCCGCCACGTAGTCCCAGCCGCCTCAGATGACCCGAGAGGCTGACTGGGATTAGCCCGTTTGCAGAGACGACTACAGGAATAATTTCGGTCGGCAGACCACCCCACATGTCGGTCACCTCGTGAGCCAGGTCCAGATATTTTGTTTGTTTATATGTTGTCTGTTATTATTATTATTATACTTATACGTAGTAAAGCTACTCTGCAGCTGTATTATAGCTGAATAATTATCGTTCTTAGTATAGCTGTTACTTATAGTTAAACGTATGACTAATAATTGAAAGTGATAGTGGTACGTGCATGAAACACGTATCGAATCGAATACGGGAATACCTCGTTATGCGACTTCTATGTAGGACTTCGATCATCGAGAAAAGGTTAACATTGCAAGATAGGTTAACTTGATAGAAATTGTGCAAGCTTTCTTAACTACTATTGTTACTTAAATTAACAAGTAGGTGGGCTAACTTTTTATGCATATAATATATTAAATTTTATTTTAACGGGCTTTTATTAGCATGAATATAACGGAATGTTTTTATTCAGTATTCACCTTTTAAAAAGAGGGGACAAACGAGCATGCGGCATTAGTAAATAACTTCCGCCGTTCGTGAACAACGCAGCATCAGTGGAAGGCAGGCGCACTGTCGACCTTTTAAAAAGGAGTATTATTGCTCTACTCACACTGAATGTTAGAGTAAAATAGCACATCTACTACTATAATTAGTATGGTCAGTAAACGGGAACCGGAAAACCTTTTAACTGTTACGAGCCATTCTATCTTAGTGACAACGCTTCATTTTGACTTTTGCTATTAAATGGTTTTGCTACGGTGTAGGTGACACTTAAATCTATGGACATGGTAAGTATAAAGATTTCCTGATTCCCGCTCACTCGCTATACGAAACAAAGTATGCTGTTACTGCTTTGATGGTCAAGCCGACACAGTCGTGTTTGAACCTTACAGCTTACAGTTTACAGCTACAAAGTGTCTCTTCCACTTATAAAGAGCCTACTTCTTTTTAAAAGATCCACTATCACTTCCAGTTGTCTACCGTTACAGCCTGTTAAATTCCACTGCTGAACATCTACCCCATATATAGCCTCATTTGGGGGATATTTGCCATAGTTAGCACGCTTGGCAAGTGGGTTGGCAACCGCTGTTTTTTTATTTCAGTCGTTATTAGGAAGGCGCTGTTGCCCATCTCCGGATTTCTAAGTAATCTGAAACTTTACAGACGTATTAATTAAGATTTTAAGTGGTAAATCAAGCTGCAGCTATATATATTCGTAGTATAGTTGTAGCACGGATAGGTCGGCTCGACTGAAGAAGGATTACGCTCTCACAGAATACCTGCGTAAAATAGCATCTTAACGCTGCTGTCTTTCGTATGGTGAGTGATGAGAAGCGGAGACATCTTAGCCCTCACGAGTGACAACGCATCTGCATTTTGATTCGTAATCGGGGATAGATATACATATATATATATATATATATATATATATATATATATATTGTCTATGGGCCGCAGAACCACTTACCATCAGGTGGACTGTGTGCTCGTTTGTCACCCCTATCTTATAAAAAACAAGAAATGATGACAACACTTATAATTTTATGAGTATGAGCTAGTATTATTTTATAGAAGAAGGGCTAACGAGCATGTGGCTCACCTGATGGTAAGTGATTACCGCCGCCCATGAACAACTGCAACACCTGGGGAAACGCAGATGCGTTGCCGGCCTTTTAAAAAGGAGTAGACTCTTTGTTAGGAAGGTCACATCGTTTCCGATTGAATTGTCACAGTGCATAATGAATGGCTGTTATTTAATGAAATGAGTAATTTTTTAAACCATACTTATTACAATTATTATTTAAAAACAATGAAAATATTACAAATTTATTGACACCCTTGCTATCATCTCGCAAACATAATTACTTTAGTTTAATGACAGATCACAACGGAGTTTAAATTATACAGTGAATATTTACTCACGTAAGTTTTAACTTAATAATATACTTAGTTTATAAGAAGTACTCGCGCATCATAACAGTGAGAATAAATAATGTAGAAACAATACAGTACATTGATATATCGCTCTAAGATTAATGTCCAAGTGGATATGAAACACCGGGATCGTTCGGTATGTATACACTTCTCAATCGCACACATATAAGGCTCCACGCTTCGCTACCCCCGTATATAAACTAAGCACAAACTAGCCTTGAACTTCATTTCACCACAACTGCAACACTCAACAACCGTAGACAACAACCCTTGCAAAACCCTTTTTAAAATAAATTAAATAAATAAATCCGACGATTAAAAGTACTATGGTGTGCGATAGTGTTTAAGTTATGTGGTGATAATATAAAAGTTGCTTTTATTGTGGTATTAGGTGTTGAATAGTAAACATGAAGGTCGTAAAAAAAGTGGTAAGTTTATTTTTTAAATTGTTCGCATTTCAAAATATCAACAACATGTTTAATTATTATAAATTATTAATCATAAAAAAGACAAAGTAAGTACCTATAATGGAATACGGTCAGACAACATACATTGAATTTCTTTTCTTAGAGCATGAACGTTGTATAGCAAAATTCCAAAAATATAAAATACTAAGAGTTATTAAAATTTGAGAAAACTACAACACCAGGCATAGATCATGAGCTGTGATGAACGTAGTGAGGATACTAGGTCACAGTTGTGAAAATATTGTATGAGTATTGGTCAAGAAATAATGACAATACAATAATTTCAATACGACTGCAAAATTTCAAATTATTCTTGAAGTGGGTGAAAACTGTATAACAAAATAGATTTACATTCATACATACTTACATAGATACATACAAATCCAAACAAATAAAAAAGTGTAAAAAGACGAACTAAATATATTGAGATACATCTAAAATTATTACTACCATAACAAAATATCAAATATAGATAAAAAATGATTGTTTAATTTAATGATTATTTAAAAGGGTTTATTTCCGAATAAGTCTAAATAAATATAGTGTACATCGTCTGCAGTGTATTTGAATATTAAGATGGACTGTATAAAACCCAGGCTCTGAAACATTTAGTCTTAGCCTCAAAAGTGGCAAATAATCTGTATTCGCCATTGCTTGACGTTAGGAAGGAAGGATGCGAGTGATCATGGGCTGATGGTACCACATATTATAAATAATATGTCTAGCTTTTAAAGTCCCGCTAGGTTTCTTGCTGGTTCTTCCCAGGACAAAGGTTTTTTTCCGAATCAGTGATAATTATACAAAAGAGTGACTTTCAATAAGTGTTATTTATAATCTATAATGAATAAAAAAGTTTCTGTTTCTGTTACTGCTCATTCGCCACCCTTGTGGTTGAAAAAAAAAAGAAACTATAGTTTTATATCTCTTTTCGATCAATGTAAGTAATTCTAGAAGGACATTAAAGTAGAATTTGATTTAGTATTTCAGAAATTTCAAGTTTACAAACAAATTGAAGAACTATATAAATATTACATTATTCTTCTTTCTGTAAAGTTTATTTCCCCGCACATTATAATGTA